TATTAGGACTAACCACCTTACAATATTTTTAATGGGTCAAACCCCCTCAGAAATGTCAATTACTGAACTACCCCTATAATTTGTAATAGCGAAGACCCCCCCACCGTTTTCCCCAAATACTGCATATCTTCAACCATATTCTTCAATATAATTTCTCCCCTGCTATATTTATGCCGAGAAATTCTCCCAAAAAAAACTAAAATATATATCGGATATTTTCCCCTCTCAAACATTGCCCTAGTTTGCTACATCTTCAGCGAAAAATAAAAATCAGAATACCATTATATTGTGCAATTCGTTCAGCAACACAGGTTGACAAAAATGGTGAAGAACGGCAAGAAGAAGACAGGTAGTTTGCTATATACCCATCTCTACCACATAATTTCTGTTTTTGACACCTTCTTCAGCGACTCCGAAGGACAAAATCGAGGTCTCCTACAAAAACGGTATACAGCGGTACGCGACGACCATATGCGACGGTTTGGATGTCTTCCATGGTTGATTACTCAAAAATGGAGTTTGTAAACACGATTGTTTTTTAAATCTACAGATCTATGGTCACACTATTTGTTGACTCATAAATATTTGTTTTCCTATGAAATTTGTTTTATCAGAGTCCAAAACAAAGAAAAGATCAGTATAAAAATCGGTAGTTCACTATATTTTTCCCGAAGTCAACTATAAAAATCGGTAGTTCACTATATTTTTTCCGAAGTCAACTATAAAAATTAGATAGTCAACTATAATTTTTACGATGTCAACTATAAAAAATGGTAGTTAACTATATTTTTGCCAGAGTCAACTACAAAAATTAGATAGTCAACTATAATTGTTCAAATGTCAACTATAGAAAAATTGGTAGTCAACTATAATTTTTCCATTAATTTACCATATTATTTTTCAATTTAAGATACTATGATGTTATAAAATTGAATACTCATGATAAAGATCTCATCTTCATGAAAATATAAATTTCATAGAGTAGAAAATAAAATGACTTCAAGGACCAAAAAATGAGATATAGAAGAAAAGGTACAGTAGTGAGAAGAAATAGTGGAAAAAAAATGAAACAAAAACAGGCGAGAAAAGAGGAATTGAGGGAAGAGAAAGAAGAGAGAGAGAAGAGAGAGGGAGAAAAAGAAAAAAAAAAAGATAC